TAAAAGTTTTCACAATACCTTTTTACATCGGAAATAGAAACAGGAGTAAACCACTGAACTCAAGCATGTCCTGCCATTCAATGAGATCATGGCCGTTCTGTAGCCTAACTCCATATAACTGCCTTTAGCTCATATACATCAATACCTTTGCTCAACAAAAATTTATCCATTTTGGATTTAAAATTAACAATTGATCAAGCATCAAATGCTGCTTGTGGAAGAGAGTTCCAAAGCTACACCACCCATTGTATGAAGAAGTGCTTCCTAACATCTCTCCTGAATTGTCTGGCCCTAATTTTAAGACTATACCCCCTAGTTCTAGAATCCCCGACTAGCAGAAATAGTTTATCTTTATCTATCCTGTCTTTTCCTGTTAATACCTTGAAGACTGATCAAGTCACCCCCTAACTCTCTCATTTACTGAGAAACGTACATATAAAGTACTATAACACATTCAAAAATGTAAAATGAAAAGTTCTGTTGTCAACCTTTTGTACGCTAATTTAATTAAAATGGTAAATCCAGCTTTATTTTGAAAAGCTGTGTTTGAATGTAATTGCTCCAACTCCACTCACAGACAAGCACCCTGCTTTGGAATGAACATGGATATCTGTTCTGTCGATGGAGTTGGAAGCTTTGATTAAGACGGCTGTTCACGAGGAATGCTAGGCTGGATTTCAAAGGTTGAAACTCAGCAGGTAGTTGTTTTGTTCCAAGAACTACTGAAACTTTTATATGTCTATAATAACCAAATGGGACTCTTGTGGTGCAGTGGTAGTGCTCCTACCTCTGGGCCAGGAAACCCAGGTTCAAGGCCCACCTGCTCCAGTGATGTGTAATGATATCTCTGAATAGGGAGAAAATAACTAAAATCTCCCCATCCCTGGCCTCATTTCATGTCCGAACCCTTCTTCTCATCCCCGCCTCCTTGACTTGCCACAACCTGTTCATCTTCTCTCCCACTTATCCGCCCCACCCATCCCACTGATAACTCCCTACCCACATTCACCTATCACCATCCCACCAACCTTCCCGAGCCCCACCCTTCCTCTCTCTATTTATTTCCCAGCTTCCTTCCCCCACCTCATTTCTGAAGAAGGGTTCCGACCCGAAACATCAACTTTCCTGCTCCTCTGATGCTGCCTGGCCTCCTGTGTTTCTCCAGCTCCACACTGACAAATAGTGGACACTGTTTGGATAACATGTACTTTCTACTGTACAGTATAGCAATTTCCTATAGCAATTTCCCAATAACATGATTTTCTATGATGATTTTCTAAAGTGCAAATTTCTATAGCAGCGAGGTCACACAAGAACACAATTATCGCATTATAGGAGAAACTGCAGTTTTGGTCTCCTTTTCTGAGGGAGGATGCTCTTGCTGTCGAGAGAGTGCAGCGAACGTTTACCAGGCTGATTCCGGGGATAGGGAGTCTGACATATGAGGAGAGATTGACTCGGTTGGGATTGTTTTCACTGGAGCTCAGACGAATGAGGAGGGATCTCATAGAGACTTATAAAATTCTAATAGGACTAGGCAGGGTAGATGCAGAGAGGATGTTCCTGATGGTAGGTGTGTCCAGAACCAGGGGTCACAGTACGAGGATTCAGGATAGACGATTTAGGACAGAGATGAGGAAACATTTCTTTACCCAAAGAGTGGTGACCCTGTGGAATTCATTACCACAGGAAATAGTTGATGCCAAAACATTGAATGTACTCAACAGGCGACTAGATATAGCACTTGGGCGAATAGGATCAAAGGTTATAGGGAGAAAGCAGGATTAGGCTACTGAGTTGGACGATCAACCATGATCATGAAGAATGGCGGAGCAGGCTCGAAGGGCCAAATGGCCTCCTCCTGCTCCTATCTTCTATATTTCTATGTTTCTGTGATATCTGATCAGCACAGATGAGTAGAACCATTTCCGTGCTGTACCTCTCTCTGACTCTGACTGTGGGGGGGAATGAAAAGTAAGTTTGTGAATGACATTGGTGACAGTTGGGAAGAAGGTCTTAGGTTACAGGAGGATATAAATGGTGTTATGGACCAGACCAAATCCCCTTCAAATGTCTCAAGGGAATAGCCTAGACCTTAACTTTTATCTCATCTCTGGGCAAGTGTAAGGTGCTAGTAACATCCCATAAGCAAAGCCTTGGCAAAAGCAAAATCAGTAAAACAGATGGTCTCACATGCAAATCTGACAGCAGACTACCACAACCAGCTTCAAATCCCCAACAACTACTGAAAGCTAAACTGAATCCCTAGTTCTATGGCAGCCTGACTCCACCTATTCATGCTGTTTCTATTGTTTCAATTTTTAGAAAAACTCCAAGGCCTCACAAGCTGTTTATTGGCCTCAAATAGAAAGCTTGGTACCTCTGTCTTAAAACCTCTTTTCAAAAAACAGGACAAAACACACCTCTTAAAGACATAGTATCATCACAACAGATTGATCAGATGGGCAGATCAGAAGCAGATGTAAGTGTGAGGTGATGCATTTTAGAAGAAGAAATAAGACAAGGGAGTATTCAATGAACAGCTACATACGAGGAAGTTCAGATGAACAGAATGATGTTTGGTTGCTTGTCCACAAATCCCTAAAATTGGCAGGAGAGATTAATAGCATGGTTAAGACAGCTTACAGAACATTTGCCTTTATCAGTCAAGACACAGAATAAGAGCAAGTAGGTTATGATGGAACTGTAAAGGGTTCATGCAGAGGGTGATGCACGAATGGAATGAGCTAGCAGAGGAAGTGGTGGAAGCTGGTACAATTATAACATTTAAAAGGCATCTGGATGGATACATGAATAGGTAGGGTTTAGAGGAATATGGGCCAAATGCTGACAAATGGGACTGGATTAATTTAGGACATCTGGTCAGCATAATGAGTTGGACTGGAGGGTCTGTTTCTGTGCTGCATAACTTTGGTTAGCCACAGCTAGAGTACTGTGTGCAGTTTTGGTCACCACACTATAGGAAGGATATGATTGCAATGGAGAGGTTGTATAGGTGATTCACCAGGATGCTGCCTGAGATGAAGTGCTTTAGCTATAAAGAGAGGCTAGATAAGCTTGGGTTTGAAATAACTCCCCAGAGGGCAGTATACCGTCACCAAGTCGCTCTTTATTTACATGTGGACAGTCCTTGACACTGATCCAGCTCTCACAGTGAGCAGGACTTTTGACACTCCTATTCTTATCTGTCAGCCCGGGCTCCCTGATTGGACCAGATTAACAACCCCAATCAAGGAATTCATAGTGTATGAGGTTCACCTGGCTGAACTCATTACAAACACAACCGTGTGTTTTCTTTGGAGCAGAGAAGATTGAGGGAGAATTTGATAGAGGTGTACAAGATTATGAGGGGCATAGACAGGGAGGAAAGGAAAACAGGTGTTCCCTTAGCTGCAGGGTCAATAAGTAGAGGGCAGAGGATTTGAAGGGAATTTAAGGAGAGTAGTTGATGCAAGTAACCTCACAACCTTTAACAAGTACTTGGATGAGCACCTGGAATGTCATAACAGCCAAGGCTCCAGGTGTAGTGCTGTAAAATAGGACTGATATAGATCTAGTGTTCCTTTGGCAGAACAGACTTGTTCTGCTGCAGGGGCGCTTCTGTAATGTATGATTCTAGATTCTATGACTTGTTTGGATCTAGAATGTCTTGAAACTGATATGAAAACTGGGAAATTAATTAAAACTTTTTTTAACCTCACAAGGTTCTAGGTTGACCATAACAACAGGAGGTTTGAGGTTTTGATCTTTGAGGCAGAGGTAAGGGTAGAGGAGCAGCAATATCAAAAAGCATAGGCCACAGAAAGTGAGTGCAGGGTGATGGCACACTATTTATCTGAACAATTAAGCATGTGCACGTGATGGGCTCCTTAGGTACACAGGAACAGGTGTATGCCATTCACACCCTCAAGCCTGTTCCACCACTTGATGAGTTTTTTTTATTCCCACATGAGACATTGGTGTTGCTGGCTAGCCAGCATTTATTGCCTGTCCCTAGTTACCCTTCAGAAAGTGGTGTCGAGCTGTCGTCTTGAACTGTATGCAGTTCTGGTCACCACAATATAGGAAGGATTGCAATGGGCGGGGTGCAGAGATTTGGCATAATCTTACCTGAAATGGAGCACTTCAGTTACGAAGAGGGGCTAGCTAAGCTCGAGTTGTTTCCTTTGGAGCAGAGAAGGTTGACATGCTG